TGGAGCTCGTTAGCCCGTAAGGCAATCCATCTACGTCCTGAGGACCTCACTGCCACCGTCCAAGCGTGCTTGGCCCCGGCAGATGAACCTCAGGATTAAAGGGTGGGCTCAGTTCCGCGCACACTGTGTCTCACCTAAAAAACCCAATGCGCAGGCTGGAAGGTGGAAAGACCTTCCCCGGTTCTTCGTTCGCGAAGAGACTAGCCATTATATATTATTAATTCAGGACTTGTATTTACTTAAATAAAGTACTGTTTCTGTCGTGACTGAACTGATTGTCTCGTATGTTTAGTCTTAACAGGGGTTTTACTGAAATGCACTGTATGAGTGGCCACTCAAATTTTGTATCTTGCGTGTGCATCATACCTCCAAGTGACCTCTATCCTCGTGGACTGATTGCAACTGGTGGCAATGATCATAATATTTGCATTTTTACAGTTGATAGCACAACTCCTCTTTACATCCTTAAGGGTCATAAAAACACAGGTATGTAGTAGTTTTATTGTGGAGTTTTTTTGCATAAAAGTTAACATGATTTATTAGAGAGCAAATAAAGTTGAATTTACAAAACTCAATTTTGATTTATTTAGTACATAATGTAGCAAGCAATTATGGCCTCTGCAAACACGATTTTATAACCTTAATTCATGCAGTGACCATTCATGGCAAGGACTTCCAAGTTTATCCTGATGACTGTTTGGACTTTTACTGCACATGTGAACTCATGGCGAGAACGATTACCCTTTTTCCAAGGGCTGCATTTTTAAAAAGCAGTTGGTTCTTCATGTATTAAGCTTAATTTTTATGTCAAAGCTGATAGAAGCAGAGAAAGTCAGCTTCCTAAATAAACTTTCTCTGCCCATTTTTTTACTTAGACAGTGATCTGATATTAATTGGTGGTTTAAATTTAAATTAGTGGTTTTATACTGTGTTACTGGTGTATTTGCAGATTTTCTTTTTACTGAATCTCTAAAGCACCACAGTTTCTTGGTAGTAGTAGTGCTGGTAGTGCTTGGCCTTTCAAGCAAACTACTTTTTTTTTTTAAATGAAATCTTGCTTCTTGAGGACACAAATTAACACCTGTTGCTAAAAACTTCACTTTCTCTGACATCTTAAAAACTAAACCTTAGCATTAGTTCCATATCTTGACTAGTTATCTAACCTGTTTGTCATCATATTCTGATCTGAGGAGAAGGGGTCTGGTACTAAAAGAATTTAAAAATATGAATGGCAAAAATATTTCAGATTTTGTAACCTAAAATTAGGAGGTTTTGAAGCAGCTTCTTTCTAGTTTGCAGTGCAATACAGTTTGCCAAACTCCTCAACGCTAAATCAGCTATTGATACCAAGTAAATCTCCTTAAGTAAATCTCTTTAAATTGCTGACATGAGATTTGTGGCAATGCAGGACACTTGTCAGTTCTGACTTGAATGTTCATTCCAGTTTGCAGCCTTTCATCGGGGAAATTTGGCACATTATTAAGTGGATCATGGGATACAACAGCCAAGGTGTGGTTGAATGACAGATGTATGATGACACTACAGGTATGAAGTTCCTCTACATGATTTTAAATGGGTACTCTGAATTTCGTTTTGACAATCTGACAAGTCTAACAAATGTTGGGTTTTTTTTGCAGGGTCACACAGCTGCAATATGGGCAGTGAAAATACTTCCTGAACAGGGATTAATGTTGACTGGTTCAGCTGACAAAACTATAAAACTGTGGAAAGCAGGCAGATGTGAAAGAACATTCACTGGTAAATGTTGCTGTTGTTGATAGTTTCATTAGGGTAGTGTGTTCTTTTAAAAAGAGAAAAAAACAAAATATGAAAACCTTACAAAATCATGGATAAATTAAACAGTACTTGGGCAGGATTTTTAAAGTCTTTGAAGTTGTATGCCCAGAAGTCACATGATTTCTAAAGGAATGAGATTTTTTATGAGAATTTTGAGCAATTTTTTTAAACTCCTCCCATAATAAAGATTGGTTGCCTGGATTTAGATATGAGGTAAATAGAAATGGTGTACTGCTGCTAACAGAGAGAAAAACTGCATTAAATTTTTCCTTTCTTTTATAAAGGACATGAAGATTGTGTGAGAGGTTTAGCTATCCTCAGTGAGACAGAATTCCTTTCCTGTGCTAATGATGCTAGTGTTCGAAGATGGCTGATCTCTGGAGAGTGTCTGCAGGTGTACTATGGACATACAAATTACATATACAGCATCTCTGTATTTCCTCAGTGTAAAGGTAGGGTTCCTTTTGTGACTGTTGCCCAACACGAAATGCAGTGGCAGGGTGGGTGTTCTCTAGTTGACTCAGGTAGCGTTTAATTTACTTGTTACATCTAGTGTAAATGGATTAAAAAAAAAAAAAAAGCTGTGATTGACTCCAAATCACATCTGTGTCAGAGTTGCTCTGGCAGTATGTGGGATAAAAGTCCTGGGTTAGGGCTAAGTGAAACTTGGATGAAGCGATAGGCAAGACTATTGTCTAATTTGCCACCTGTTTCAGCACTGTTGCAGAGGAGTAAAATAGTAATGTGTGGCTTACCAGTTTGAGATAATGAAAATTTAGATACTTTTACAATGTGCATTATAAATAGTTTAGGTTAAGAATTTTGTGTATGAGGCTAAATTACATTTGTTTTCAGAATTAGAGGTTTAGAGGTTCAGAACTAACTGTTGCAGACAGTTGCAGAAGAAATTCCAAGTCAGTGACCTTTGTGTGGTGTATGGGACACTTGTGCATTTGTTCAACAGGTAAAGTCCATGTGTATAAGTAGATGTGTATATTGTAAACTTTCTATGCCTTAGAATTCCTTATTGAGGAGTTACAGACTTTTGACAGTGCTTTATGCATGTTTTTTTAAAAAAGCAGGCTTGCCATCCAAAACTCAATTTAAAACTAATGTGAAACTGCAAGTTTAGTGCAAGACGGAACAGTGATGATGACAAAATTGTTTAACTCTTAAAAGGAGGAAGGGATCTTTCTTTGTCTTGGGCATAATTTCATTCCCTGCCCAACTGCGTAGTCTGCAATTTATGCACTTGACAAGGCAAATTAGAAGTGGCTTTCTTTCTGCACTCTTCTTGCAATTGAGAGAAGAAATTGTAGAAAGGTTCTTTTACTGCTCTAATTTTTAGATACTGTTGCCTAAAAGACCAAGGAGGAAAAAGGCTGCAGGCCAAATTAGGTAGGAGATAAGGGAGCAGAAGATTTAATGAGCTCCAGGCTCCAGGAATACAAACCCACATGCCTGTGCTGTGACTCAGGTGTTACAATTTTATGGTTTCCATCCAATCCCCATTCTGCCCCATTCAGTCCCCCCATATGCCCCTTCAGAAATTGAGTCTGAGGGAGTTTGAGACCCCCTCTTCCTCATCTTCATCTTGTTCTCAGCATGTGCAGTTCTTGGAGCCCCTCCAAAGTTCTGGGCTTGAAGGTTGTTGTGTCTACGTTTATATCTTCTGGTGCAGATTTTAAGGTGTTTTTCTACAATTCTACCTTGAAAAGGAGACTAAACACACTAATGGAATTTAGAGGGATTGATATGGAATGGAATAATAGAGTTGGATATGTGTAAACATTGTGCTACAGGGTAAGGGATGTAATACAGCTAGGTTAAAATCTACATTTACTGTGCAACTACTTCTAAAATCTACAAAAAAATTAAAAAAATCAAAAACACTAAGGCATGAATACCCAGTTGCAGAATGGCAACTAGTATAACAGGATGCTAAAAATGTACTTTAAAAGTTTTTATATTTTTTTATTTTCAGATTTTGTGACTACTGGAGAGGATAGATCTCTTAGAATCTGGAAACAAGGGGAATGTGCTCAAACAATCAGACTCCCAGCTCAGTCTGTATGGTGCTGCTGTGTGTTAGACAATGGTGACATCGTGGTTGGTGCAAGGTATCCAGATTTTATTCTCAGTATATTTGTAGATCTGAATCTGCAAGTCCTTGATGAAATTGAAAACATCACTTTAAATATCAGTTTCATTTCTGTTTAAAAAGGCAGCCATCAAAATGTGTGAAATGTGTGTGTATGTGTTAAATTTAAATATGAGCTATACTTCATCCAAAAAGTAATTTTTTATGTGATTCAGAGAGGTAGAGTGAATTCTTTAAAGATGTTGTAAACCATGAATAGAATGAGAATAAATATATAAATACTCTAGGAAGAATATTTTTGATAGGCATATCATATCTTGATTTTAAAATTATGTTGAAGACAGGGTTAGCTGTTTGATTCCTTCTCTGGGTTGTTTTAGCATGAGAGTGAATTCCTTCCATAAGAATAACTGAGAGAGGTAATTAAAAATAGTGATGGTTTCTTTTGATGTAGAAGTCACCATTAGAATCATAATATTTAAAATCCTATTTCTCTTGAATGTTTTCTCTCCATTCAGTGATGGAATTATAAGAGTGTTTACAGAGTCTTTGGAACGTACAGCAAGTGCTGAGGAGATTCAAGCTTTTGAAAATGAGCTTTCCCAAGCATCCATTGATCCTAAAACTGGTGATTTAGGAGATATTAATGCTGATGACCTTCCTGGAAGGGAACATCTTAAGGATCCCGGTAAGTTGTTGTACTTATGTCATTTTAGAGATGCCTCCAAATCTTGGTTCTGAGGTATTGAAACTTTTAATAGTTTCCAAAATTAAGGCTTTAATCACTGTCAATAGGGTTGCGGAAGGAAACAGCCTAATTTAGCTTTACTACCCTTTCACTGATTCTTTTGGAGGCAGGACTATAGGGTTTTTCTGTTTCTTGGTGTTTTTTTTTTTTTTTTTTTTTTTTTTTTTTTTTTTTTTTTTTTTTTTTTTTTTTTTTTTTTTTTTTTTTTTGATAGACTAGAATTATAAAAAAA